TGGACTTTCTGATGTTACATATACTTTTTAAATGCTAACAAATCAGTGAGCAACACTGGGAATGAGAAGCAATGGCAACAGATTTACAAAAGTTCTTTAAGTTAAAGTGACTTTATTTTCACAACATTTTATAAAACTACACAAAGACTATATTCTTCTGCATAGGTATTATGCCTTAACTTTTTGTAAGGCTCTAACTCAAAAGGCTAAGAGCTAGAATTTCCCAGTTTAATGTTTGTCTGCAAATGTGATTGAGGTTTATTTTCGGAATCCTCGTGAATAATAAAACAATGTCTCTGTCTCCAAATTAGAGGTAGGACCAAGTCATTGTTTTTTTAAATCTCAAGTACATCTCATTGCTTTATCCTAATGTCCCAAGTCAAGTTTTAAGCAAAGACAGTCACACTCGAATCAAAGTCAAGACAGATAGCACTCAAGTGAAATTCCAAGTCTTAAAATTAACATTTTTAACCCTATAATGCCAAATGTATCGTATTTAATACATATGGTTTCTGAAATGTTTTGCGTCTGACACCTTTTGCATAATTTAATGGTAAAAACTTTGCTCAAAATCCTATTGTACACAATCAGATATACCTGATAACAGAGGGCAGAAGACTACACAAAAAATAATCTTGACTTATCGCATAGTAATAAATTGTTAATATCAAAAATGTATTTCTGTTTTTTCTTTTTACATATTTTGTTAAAAGGCCAAATAAGGACTTCAAACCAAAAAAAAAAGTAATTTTCTGTTTTGCTTTATTCTTGGATCGGGCTTTAAAGGGTTAAGTCCTTTGAGTCTTTTTTTTAACAAAGCCATGTATGTTTAATGTGATTAAGTCTGATTCATCCCCCCGTTTTGGGCACTCCTACCCATCGGGCGGTTGCCGGTTGAGGCCTTTATGTCCGGTTTACATAGATTATTTTATAAGTAGTGTTGTATTAGACTGTGTAGGATAGCATGTAGGCCTCACTTGCCAAAGTTACATTCGAGCATAGTGGCGAGCTGCACAGTCACTAGTTTGTCAGCTCTGTGCTGCTGTAGCGCAAAAGATGTCTGCCTCCACAAATGCAAATCCACTTCTATTTGATTGTAAATAGCAATTCTAAGGCAAGGCAAAGACAAAGATTGAGACCTTCTTTATTATAGGTGATAATAAATAACATACATATAGATAATATACTATGTTTATTATTATATCAGTAAATCCCTATAACTATTACACTCTGTAGCATTAAATAAAAGGTGTTTTAAGAGTTTGGTTTTGGGTAAGATATCAAATTATTTCAAGTAAACTGGTTCAAGTCCAATTGAAGTCCCAAGTCATAGGCATAAAGATCAAAGTCAAATGATTCGACCATGTGTATCAAATCAAGCTGCACAAGTATATTTACATGCAATGATTTTATCCCATATGTCTTATTGCTCCATCGTTTGGGCCCAGGCCACAAAGACTGTTTTAAAACATTTACTCTTACTTCACAAGCAAGCATTAAAAATATTCGATCAAAAACCGGTGAAGTGACATCACTGCAAAATTATTAAAAAATACAACATGATGACATTTGAAAATTTTATAAATTTCTCATTTTTAAAAGCTATTTTTAAATGCCTTAATGGTCTTGCCCCTGAAATAATCTGTAAATTTGTTTTAAAGTATGCAAATGAAGGAATCAGGACAAGAGCTGGAGCTAGTGGGAACTGTAGGATTAAAAGATGTCGGACATCTATGGGTCAGTCCGCCTTCTCAGTGAAAGCATCACATCTCTGGAACTCTTTGCCTCTGGAGCTTAAGTCACAGACTGATATTCGACTTTTCTCCACAAGATTGAAAAAATGGCTCAAAGACAATCAAGAGTGTGAGCACTAAACTGGCTTGTACAGTACATTTTTTATTTTATTTTTTTTAACTTCTCTTGTTTTTTTTTTATGCATCTGTGTGTCGTTACTAACCTCCCTCCCCCTTAATGCTAACACCTTTTAAAAGCCTAACCAGGGAGGAAGGCTTCAAATTAGCCCATGGCTACAAGCCTTATGTACTTGAACATCGGCCACCTGTTTGGTTGCAATGTTTAATTGTACTGTCCTTGTCAAATAAACAAATAATAAAAAATAAAAAAAAATCACAAATCTCTGAACATTTTTAAAGTCAATTTTAAAGTATTAAAATCAATGATCGTGATCATGTGATGGAAGTTTCCAGCCCTGATTTTTGTTTGGCTTTGTTTTTAGTTTGTCTTTCTGTTTTTGTTTTCTCACTAAGCTAACATGCAAAGTTTCTCCATCATAAAGGCTGATTATTGGCTGCATTGCTGTGAAGAAACAACAACATTATGTCAACTTTTTGCTGATTTAAAAAAATCAGATGTAGGCTGTAAAGAGTTTATATGCAAATGTGATAGCATAAAGATCTGAATAGGATTAGAAAAGCGGTGTACTCAAATCCTGACAGTATATTAAATGTACTGAATTAAACAGATCTACTGTCTCTAGCCGTAAAATAACAATGGAACCATTGATCTGCAGAACTTTGCATCATTCTCACATTCTTAAAAGCTGATAAACACTTTAACACCTCCTGTGAAAACAGTGGCTGAGGATCTAGGAATCCAAAAAACACTATCGGTCATCTATGCAGCTGCAAAAATAAAGCATGTTAGTATAAGGAAAATTCAAACTTTAACTGAAAGTGATGGAAGGTGATGGGAGGAAGATTCTTATTGTCAAACAGTCCTAAAAACAGACAACTTTGATTTAATAGGCTTTTGATGTTCTATTAAAAAATGTTCTCCATGATCAGTTAAAGGAAAAAAATCTATCCGTCAATGACTTTTTATGTTTCCCTGCTTTGATCTCTGGACATCTATAAAAATGTTTTTTATTTATATGTGTGGTTTTAAAAAACCTATATAAAAGAGTCACAGTGCCCCCTAGTGGTCAGACAGGTTAAAATACTTCACTTCACTTTATCCTAGAAAACTGGTTTATTTACCTGCTGGATTTCTATTTTCTCTCACTAACATTCAAACCAGGCACTGAAACAGAGCAGACTGGTTTTTAGTCTAAACAATACCAATATAGTATTTGATTCATCCAGATACAGAACATTAAACCTTTTATATTGTTTTTTTTTTTTTTTTTTTTTAAGAATTGCAGGGGCCGGTCAAAACACAACCAGCAAACTTTTAAATTTTAATCTCCAAACTCTCTAAGCTAAATAAATGAAACACAGCATCTTGTGACTTTTTTAACAGTTGTAACTATATTGAACGTCACCTACAGATGTTAGGTATCAGTGTTGGTTTTTCTTTGGTTTGTTCTCCTGTTTAAATGATCATCATCTCAGTGTTTATTGCCCCTTTGTCAGCTTTTAGACCAATGGAATCCTTCCCTCAGCACAAAATGTTTGTTCTGAATCATTTTATTTATTAAATTGTTGACCAGAGTTCAATAAAAGCATGAATTTAGTTAAGCAGTTGACACAGATAAATGTTTAATTATAAAAGATAGTTGAGGTTGATTTCTATTTATTCTGACACAAGGCCTTAAAATAAAAGATATTCTTCCTAAAATGTAAATATATTATATTGCATCAATCATGTTTTTGGCTTTTTGTTTGATTTGATACTAAATACATGCAATAGCTTTAGGTCTAAAACCAGACTTGATTTACAGTGAGCCCTATTTTGTTTATGGTGCTGAAAATGCACAAATAAATAAACCCAAAAACTTGCAGAATATTTTTTTTTAATTTTCTTTCACAGAGTAAACCTAGAACCCTTTATGTACTACTGATCTGCAATATTTTACAGATCCCTATTTATTCAGTTCACTGTAGAGCTGGTAATTTGAAAATAATTCAGTGATATTTGCCATTTTTACCTTAAGTAACCAAAATTTTATTCACAGAAAATGTCAAAAAGACAACAGGACATGATAAATTTGAGTTATTGGGACGTTCACAGCTATGCTCAAACATTAAAACAGAGAAACTTAACCCTTAACCAGACTGAGGGACTGGTCTGGTTTTGAACAGAGTCCCAAACTTCAAAATAATGAAACATTTTTAAAAAGTTGGAATATGATAACCCATATTTTCTTCAATATGATCGAATTTTGGAGAAAGTTGAAAGTAAGTTGAAATACTATTAGAAAAAAAACATGAAGTTTGAGCTTAACTTTCTTGTGCCAACTTTGGTGTTTAAGTAAAGAAATTTAAAATAGCCAAAAAATGTGAAACAAGGATTAAAAACAAGCGTTTTTCTCTTTACAGTGAATAGCAATTAGCTCTAGAGATCAGTCCCACACTGCAAACATCTACTGTAACAAGCTGTTTTTTCTTCCATTTACTTATCAGAGTAAACTTTAGTTAATAAATCTGAAGCAGATTCTATTTAGCATTCATAGTTCCTTTCTGAAGCCATGTAATACTACTGAAGCACATATTTTAAATTTCACCCATTAAAAAAAACTAAATAAAACACCAGATCTGTTTCTGTTTTAGACCAAAGGAAGCATTTATTTTGAAGTTTGATCTAAGTCTTAACTCCAGCTAGATGTGTTGTGATTAACACTCACCAAGCTTTCTAAGTGGAGACAATGCAATAAGAACCACATTTTTCGCATTATCATTTTTTTAAAGAAGTCTTTAAGGTATGTAAAGGCTTTATATATATATATATATATATATATATATATATATATATATATATATATATATATAGACTGCTAACACCATGCATAACAGTAAACCCAAAGGAGTTTTCCTGATTTCCGTCACTGATGTATTAAAGCAACATATTTACCTTAGAAACTAAAAACAAAATCAGATCACAACTAAATTTAAATAAAAACAAGCATCAATCATCCAGTTATGGTCAGATTTGTGTTCTTAATGAGATTTATCAGCACAATAATGCAAACAATCAATAACTAAAGGTGTATATTTAAAGAGGAGGAACAGATTAGTCGAACTCCACAATGAAAACCAAACTTATGAAAATAGGGAAGGAAAATATTGTTTTATTTTTCTACATTACAAAAAAATAGCTAAAACTGTCCACATCTGTCCTCCCCATATCCTGCGCTGAAAACGACGGTGCTCTTCACTTTGAATCAGGACTCTGGGCTTCCTCGTTGTCACTTCCTGCCAGGCTGCTGTCAGTAGAGTCCACTCGCTCCTCCGGTTGCTCTGATGATTGCGGCTCTGTTTGCTGAGGTTCTGTGGTGCTGCTGGACTCGCTGGGTTCTGTGCTGCTCTCTGCTGCTTTGCTGGTACCGTCTTTCGGCTTTTGTTGATCTGCTTCCTCCAAGAATGTAGACCAACCTTTTAGCCGCTCCTCCCGCTCACGTGACGTCTCTTCAACCTGCAAACATATTTAGATTTGATCATTCAGGTTTTTGGCTTTTAGTTTAATTTGGTTCAACAAACATGCAACAACTTTCAACAACTGATAAAGTATTTCATTAGACATACTGCAGTGTCTCGCCAAAGAAGCATCCCACAGCGTGATACTGCCAATACTACTAAGCATGATGTGCAAAGGTCACATTTGGAAGCACAAGTTGCAAAGCATTTTTTTTTACGAAGAAATAGTTTTCAAACATTTAAACCCCTTAAGTGTAACGTCAAGATCCAGTTCTATCAAAGCAGTAACTAACCGTCAAGAAATGACCAAATAACAGAAGCGACTTGCGTATTGTAAGAACTATGAAAGGTGATTCCTCCGTGATCCAAACACTGCTGGAAACATTGGTTTCCGGACCATTGTCTGCAGACGGTAAAGTTTTCAGCAGTTCTGACCTGATAGTCTGTGGTTCCGTCCCAGAGCTGCGCAGACAGCTGTCTTCCTCCAAACCAGCGGCCGTTGAATGAAAGAATACAAGCATCTGCTTGCTCCGGCTCCTTGAAAGCAACTGATGCAACACCGTCAGGGTGTCTCTGCAGGGCAAACACAGAAACCAACAGGCTTCACTATTTTTCTTAATGGTTGAGTTAATCCAAAGTTTAGTAGTGGGATTCATTAAACTCACATCAAACAGGATAACCTTCTTGACTTCACCAAACTTCTCACATTCTGACCTCAGATCCTCGCGATACTCATTCAGCACCAGCGGGTCTTCCTGAAACAGACAAACCCAGATGACAGTTTTACACCAAACTGAGTGAGAACTGATACGTGTGTGTGAATGAGAGTCTTTTTTTTTCTGCACCTCAAAGTCACTGGGGTGGAACATGTTCCTGATGATGACGACCTTTTCATGCCTCTTCCTGATTTCTCCCTGCTTCTCAGGTCTCCAGTCCAGCTGCCTGCAAGAGGAACAAAGAACTGAGAACCACACAAGAACTCCTATCCTAGATATAGATAAAAAAAAAGGGAAATATTGGTGAAAATTTCACTTTTTGTTTTTTTTTTAGAATTTAGTCAATGAACCAATGCCGTTAAAGGTATTGTAGAGGATTTTCATAAATTTTTTTTGAATACCCACCCTCTCCACTTTAAAAAAAAAAATTCCAAGTCAAAAATACACATTATCTGTTTATCTTCTTCCAGTAACTCAACCAACTTTTATTACATTTTTCCACTTTAAAAAGATTAGAGGAAGGGTACAGACTATAAAAATATTTTACCTTAGAAATTATCATAAGATAAGGTGTTAAAAAAAAACATTTTGCAAATCAACCTGTATTTATCCATAATTCTATATTTTTCATACCAGACCTGGAAAACGGTGAAAGCAACTTCAAGTCATTTCCAGGCTGCACAAGTACCCCCATTAATGCTTGTATTAGTTTTGTTTTCCTATTTTATGCTATGTCACCCAGTTTTTGTTAAACAGTAGATTTTAGGACACAAAACATATCATTTAAAGGGCTGCTTAAATTGTTGTTGTTTTTTTTTAATCAGACTAAAACTTTAAAACTTAGAGAGTTAAAGATCACAAAAATAAAATAGTTGCTTGAAACTAAACCAATAATGTTTATATTTGATGTGCACAAACATTAAAGATTAACAGCATTTCTTCCAACATGTTAAATAAATTCTGCTTGCTCTATATTTACTTTTCTGGTGTTTGAAAAAAAATTTCAAATATGGAGGGAGATGGGGTTTACTTCTGCTGCTGGTGTAGCTTCTTTCTATAATCTTTGCTCTTCTTCTTCTTCTTGCTGGCATCATACTGGCCTTTCAACTCGAACCGAGCTGCTTCCACATGGAGCTTATATCCTCGGACCTCTGACTCGTCAATCAGACGCACAGCCAGAGCCACCGATTCTTTCTGCACAGAAAGAGTTATAGAAAAAGGAGATTTTTTTAAAGTACCATTTTTGCAGCATTTAATTGAATTAACCAACTCAGAAAATTTGATTTTTATAACAGTATGATTCATTAGATGTGTATTAATACACCACAGAGAAATATGTTGAATAACAGAATCAGCTTCATTTTACATAAACAAGGGGACCAAGAAATGCTGTTGGTACCTCTAGAACAGAGGTGAAGGAGCAGCCTGTTAACATCAGATGGAAATCCACTCAGCTTTTATGTGTGTCCTAAATGCAACTTAAAGAAACTTATAAATCATTACCATCTCTTCAGGTAGGGGCTGTTAAGATTTAAAAGTAGACATTAAAAATGTTTAGAATAAACATTTTTTTTAATAATAAAAAAATGTAAAAACAATAAGAACTGCAAGTATTTTTCAAGGTTTCATTGTCTATATAGAGCTAGGCATACAGCTTGGAATCCTGAGGTTCTGTGTTGGAGCCCCACTCCCACAATCTGCCACTCTGAGTCCCTGAGCAAGACCCTTAACCCCACACTACTCCCTGGGCGCAGCACGATGGCAGCCCACTGCTGCCAGAGGGGATGGATTAAATGCAGAGGTAAATTTCTCCAATGTGAGATAAATAAAATTAAATTATTATTTATCATTTTTATTATTATTATTTATTATTCTATTTAAGGAAACTGCTAAAAAGCCGTTCTTGTATTTAACTGGTATGGCCTCAGTGACCATTAGTGGCTTTGGATTTATTTTGTAATTTTGCATACACAAGAGTATACAAAAAGAAATAATAATAATTTCATTTTTTAAGGTGCAGCCTTGATAAGGTAAGCAGCAGTGATAAAAAAAAAATATTGTGATATTAAGTCATTATATCTAGTTATGGAATGTGCATCATTCATGTTTGCTTGGCAGCAGTGATGTCAGAAAGCTAACAAGAAAACATTTGAAATTAGTGTAACTTATGATAATGAAAAAAAGGACATCACATTGCATAGTCAGTATGAAGTCGATTGAAGTCTATAAATTGTGTAATAGAACTTATACAAATCAATCCCAACTATATTGATGTGTTAATTGAACACAATAATACAGATGTTCACAATGATAAATTGATTATTTACATATAATAGACATGTATTGATGGCAATGTTGTGGTAATCACATATTACATGTAATTTCAAGATTTCACATCAAGATCGAATTACGAGTACCTGTCTGTTAATGCTGTAGTATTTTTCTATGATGGCATATACTTTTAAGCTTTGTCTGTGCATTAGCCTTTAAATCTGACAGATTTATAATACAGCTAAATTAATGAACCAGTTCAATAACACCACAGAGCTTCAGCACATATATTTCAGCCCATGAATTTTTCAAATGAGAAATAGAAGCAATAAAAACAAAAACAAAAGCATCACCCACTTAAGAATTACTTGGTTGACATTTCACAGTGAATTACTTTCTATTTACTCTACTTTCTAACGTTAGACACAATGTCGATGGCTAACTCCGAGATAGCCAGGCTAATGTTGCGCTACATACTATACTATAGGATACATTGGTGTTTAAATCGATTTTTTTGGTTGGTACATCAACTGACTGTAAAATTAGCTTTGAAAAGTCTTCCCACAGGTTTAAAATGTCAACAACAGCTTTTCATGAAGTATGCAGATGTTGACCCGATTTTAACCAGTTTTCTTAATCAGTGTGAGGTTTTATTGAGAATTGCACGTTTCAACAGCCAGGCATGCACATACCTCAAGGATTAAAGCAAAAAAAAAAAAACATCCTGAGACTAAACTTATGCATGTGTGTGGGTGTGTGTATTTTCAAGCCATGCCAGGAGGGTCTGGGGGCATGGGATCAGAGATTGCATCAATGATTGAAGACTAAATTTGACTTTTGAAAATCCAATACCAAAAACGGCCAGGAGATGGCAAAAGTACGTCTATATCTAGTGTGAATGAGCGGTCGTGTTCTGTGAGGAAAGCACAAACCCTTATTTTTAAATCGCATATAGGGTCGGTTATTGACGCTGGTGAATCAGCTGTTGCCGTAGCTCCCGGCAAACGTGTAGTGTTCGCCAACTACACATGGTCTAAACTAAACTAAGCCACCATCTAAGGTTTTATTAATGCAAGAGGAAAGACAAACTAACCTTCAGATAACAGCAGAGGCCATCACCTTTCAGATTACCATCTTTATCCTTGTAGAGTTTCACTTTATACTCTTCAGTGATGGGGTCACGCATCACGATACCGCACTTGGACATCAGCTCAACAAACTCGTCGGAGCTGATATCAGGTGGCAGACCTGAGCAGCATGAAGAAGAAAAACGGAGGAAGGTTAGAGACATAAAGTGAGACAAAGTAAACAAAGTTAGCTGCTCTTTATTTCAAACTACCAACCAGATACATAGACGTTTGTGTTTTTGTCCTCTTCAATATCAAACCATCCTGTCAACACAAGGAATGGGAAAATCATTTCTATTAAAAGCTCTTATACCACTGCTGGGATGCAAACAACATTCCAACAGTTTTGTCTCACCGATAGCCGAAAAACTCTAGTGTTTATACCTGCTTCTGCTTTCCTTTTATCTGCTTTCTGCTTTGCTTCTTTAACAGGAGTCTCCGGCTGCTCTGGGCCAGGTTTCAAAACAGGATCGACTGATTTCTCCTTCTCTGGCGGCTTGCTGTTTGGTTCAGGAGCGGCAGGTTGGGAGCTGCTCTGCGCCGTGTTGTTTGCATCCGGATTTCCTTCCTGAGTGAAGCCGTAGTTTGCCTGGTAGGCTGCGATGAAGTCCTCTGTTATCTAAAGAAACATGGCAGGCCCGCTTAGCATTAAGAAAGAAACCAGAAGTAAAACTTTTCTTTAAACCTTCTACGATTTTTAACGTCTCACAATACATTTTGAGAAACAAAAAGATGTGACCATATACTGCTTTTAGATTTGGAATCACTTATCTGATATCAGTTTCTAAAGGATTGCAATAAAAATCTGTGGTTAAATCAAAGTATTTTCATATTGTGATTAGTTTCAGTTATAAACTCTTGTATAAATATGAGCATCTCAAGGAGACCGAATGAATTAGCTCTCATACCAGCCCAACAAATTGGGCTCATATCGCATTAAACTTTTAGGAGACTGATATAGTACTCTCTATACTGAAAAAATAAAAAAAGAGCAATAAATATTACTTATGTTAAAGACTAAAACAGTCATATACATAGACTTGTTTAATTCCCAACACAATATTTGGAAATAAAGATTGAAAAACAGGCAGTACTTTAGGAAACCAGGCTTTTTTTTCATGGTCCCAGTCATACACAGTCCCATCCACGGGGTCAGTGTATGTGTATGGATCTGTGCCGTCGTCTTTCCTCTGCCCATAGAGCTGCTGCATTCGCAGCTGCTCCATGAACTCCTTATTGGCATCTGACTCGCCGCTCATCTGAAACAAGAAAGGGAAATGTTTGATTAAAATGGTCAAAATGGTAAATGAATGTTACTGAGAGATTAATACGAAAGAAAATTTATACACTTTCTTTCACATCTGTCTAGGTGGAGATGATTAGAATAAAATATGTAAGGCTGCAACTAATTATTATTTTGCAAATTGATTAATCTGTTGATTATTTTTTTGATTAATCGATTAATAAACAGGTAGACAAAGATTCTTTATAGATTTTTTTACGACATTAAATAAGGTAAAACTAAAATTTTTCCACTTAAGGAGTAGATAGAGCAAATTGGCATACAACATTTTTTTTTTTATCTTAAATGCTAAATGTTTCTATACATTTTTTTTTACAATCTCGTTATAGTTACTGCTCTAAGTGGGATATTTTACAAATTCTATGGTCAATTTAACGATTAATTGATAAATGAAATAAATCGTCAATTTATTAGTTGACGATTTTTTTCAATATTTGATTAATTTGATTGTTTCAGGTCTGAAAATGCCATTTTTTATAAATTAGGGATAAAATATGAAATTAAGCCTCTCCCGGTTAAGCAAAACAGACATTTACACACAAACTGAAGATCCGTCAGCTACTATAACGTAACTTAATTAAATTAGGCCTCATACAAAAAATATCTATATTGAATACCAAACTATCCCTTTCCAATAAGGTAAATTACTATAAATTAATCGATATTTGGATTTTTCACCCACTTGTTTAAGATCAATGAGAGAAAACACAAATCAGGTTAGCCGAAATTGCTAACGTTACCTTTAAAAACAAATGGCCAGGCACTCTTCACTACGGTTGTTGCCAAAAAGAAGATATTCTTCCCCTCCGTCACTGATACAACTCAGTGTTTGCTCTGCTGTAAGGACTAGTAGTGTTTATGAAACGTTTTACTGCCAAACTTGCAGTATTTTTACTCCCCGTATTCGTTGGTGCTCATTGCGCGACGACGCTTGAATGAAACGTTTCCGGGGTCAGATTCGTAATGCGCATGCGCACAAAAACATAAGACGTTCGATTTATACTCTTGTATCTACCTACCGGTACAAGCTGCAAACTGCTACCAAAGAGGTAAAATGGCTCCACCCACCAACGGTTCGTCCCGAGATATTAGTCGAGCGCCCACTTTGCTGGAAGCCAGGCGCTGACAGGACAGTTCAGCTAGCTTGTTAACAGGTAAATAACAGTCGGGTCAGTAATGGCGGAGAACAGCGGTAACATGAACATTAACCCGGCCAACCTTCCACCGGGAGACCCGCAGCTTATCGCCATGATTGTGGAGCATTTAAAGAACCGAGGGCTTTTCGATGAATTCCGCAGGGACTGTTTAGCTGATGTCGACACGAAGGTACCCTGCTTTTCCTCTCTAGACAGCTGCTTTGTTAGAACGGTAGTGCGTCAAAACACGAACCCAGTTTGATAATAACATCGTTTTCGTTTAGCCCTTTTTTCGTTTTTTTTTTTTTTGGGCAATTCTGACGCAGCTTTGTTACCTTTTCCAGCCCGCCTACCAGAACCTGCGGCAAAAAGTTGACAACTTTGTGTCTTCGCACCTCAGTACGCAGGACTGGAACCCGTCCATCAACAAGAACCAGATGAGGAACGGACTCAGACAAAGTGTTGTTCAGTGAGTTTTACAGAACAATCTCCTCATGCATCTCATCATCAACTATCTGCAAATATTAAGACTTCTTGCAAAATTACTGTTTAATTACTCAATAATTAGACAAAATGCTTAAAAATGTATCTCTCCTTTCTGCCACCGATTCTCCAACCTTTAAAAATTATGCACTGTAGTTTTATTGTTGGAAAAACACATTGAGAACTTTATTGTTGAGTTCTTAAGGGATATAAACCTATTGCAAACTCCTTTAACCTAAATAAAGTTGTTTTTTTATGTTTCAGGGTATTGCTTTTTTTTTTTTTTTTTTACAGTGCATCTTCTTCTCATATTAAAGTTCTGACTTCTAGACTTTTTCCAAATTCTCTTAAGGTACAGTTAGAAACAAGAAAACACAGTTGTTGTAGTTGTTCAGTTATGGGAAGAAGGGGAAACATACCAGTCTTAATTAATAACAATTGTATTAAAATAGAACAATGCGCCAAAACAGAATCAATTCAGGAAGGAAGCCAAATTAATACATTTCTTGTATTATTTTTTTTCCTCTTGAAAATGTAGAGTTATCACAGAAACTTTAATCTGAAAGGTAAAGCTTACCTAACGATTGATGTGATTGGCCTAATAATGGGCATGCAGACTTTAAGTCAAATGGCTCCTGAAAATGAAGCAAATATTGCATCAAAGCTTTTCTTTACAGCTGCAGCATCACAAACATCAGTGGCGGCCGGGTGAAGTCAGTGGTTTTTTGTTTTGTTTGTTTTTTCCATTTGGGGCACCAAGCAAAAGAAGGAAACAAAAAACTGTTTATTATTTGAAATAGATGGGGAAAGTTCAGTAGATATCAGCGGCATACAGCCTGGTGCGGCATATTTGTTTCCAGTTTTTTAAAAAGCTTTGAGGGTTCGGCTTATAGTGAGGCGCGCTCTATAGTCTGTAAAATATGGTTATTTGGATTATTAATTTCAAAGATATTAGCAGCAGATTCCGAAAATGGGACATTCTTTAATGCTTTGTAGTTACAGACAGTTTCAGCTTCATGGTAGAGTGGATATCTGATTTTAAATGTCTAATTTAAAAAGCTTTTTTGTATTAGATAAATGTTAGTTATTTGTTGTTGTTGTTTTTTTAATACAAGAAAACAGTTGTTTTTCTGTTTTTGTTATACGCTTTAAAGGTTTAATGGCTCTAAAAAGTTGTATTAGTTTTTTGAATACAAAAATAGCTAAACATGAAAAAGACAGAAAGGTGCTCTGAATGGGTGGAAGGATAGGTTTGGTCAAGCTCGGACCGGGAATGATTTTCGGCCCTGGTGATTTTCTATCTAAACGGGCCCACATATGGGCCCCCACCCCACGGGAAAAAAAATTGAAGTACAGTTGAACGCTTGTGTCTCAAATGTGACTAAAATGAAAATATAACTGTAGCATCCGTATTCCCATGGACCAGAGCTTCTCACCTCATAAGCAGAGTTGCCAGATGTCACTGAATCACGTTTTCCAGCCCAAAAAATTTTCATAAACCGCCTGGATAATCGAAATATCGCCCAATTTGAAACAAAACAAAAGTCTATTGATCTCTTAGGCCATAAATCTAAAGAAAAAATTTTTTTTCCCATAGACGGTCATCCTAAACTACCAGATTGAGAAAGATCCCAACCTGGCAACAATGCACGCAAGATAGGAAACGTTAGCCTTTAGATGCCAAACCCCATCATGCACTGCAACATATTTTTGCAAAATATTTGAACATAAATTCACCAAATACAAGAGGAACATTGTAGTTTGGTTCAAAGAAAGTATTTTAGTTTTGTAATATTATAATTTATATATTATAATTTAGTTTAGTTGCAAGGATTTTACAGTTTGAAGAAATGGAAAATGACACCATATGCCAGCTGTCAATAGGATGTGCATGACAAGGAAGGGCTATATATACTGCATGCATCACTTAGGTAACTGACATTTCTTGAGCTCCTTGAGTTATTTACTATCACGGGTAGGAGCTTCGGCTGGAGAGTATGTGATGGAGCCGGTATGATTGTAGGAGGGCCGGCCCTCGCACACTGACATTTGGACCGGCCCACCAGGCTAATGCCCAGTATCACAGATTACCAGTCTGAGCCTAGGTGTGGTTTTGATCCCAGACTGACAGGGCATGTCCAAAGGATTTTAGTAGATTGTATCAAGAAAATGTACAAAGTGCAGCAGATTTCAAAAGATGTCTGACTAAATCCTACTGATTTCTCTCAGATCAGGAATGCTGGAGTCTGGTGTGGACAGGATTATTACTCAGGTCGTGGACCCCAAGATGAACCACACCTTCAGGCCTCAAATAGAGACTGCTGTTCATGAATTTCTCTCCTTGGATGGGAAAGAGGAGAACACCTCAAGTCTGAACTCTGCATCATCTGAGCAAACAGAACCACAGGAGCCCCCAGGTGTCTCTGGCCCCAAAACCCCCTGAGGGGATCATAATGGCTGATTTAAAATAAACCGAAGGCATCAGCTTAGCGATGGGGTCAAGAGATCTATCTCTCAGCTGAAGATGTTCATACTGGACAATGCTGGTTTGTGAATGTGAATCTGCACTAAAAGCTGCAGCATGGAAGCATTGACAAATGAATAGATTTATTCATGGCACTGAGCTACAACTCAAAAAGGCTGCAGAATAGAAGTGCTTCAGCTTTGCCTTTTGGATGTTCTGTTTTTTTTTTTTTTTTTTTCCTATAGTACAAGCTCTGTTTCTGTGGAATTGCTCAAACCTTTTGACTGTTTTGTATATATTTTCATTACAGATCTCAGCAACTTGGACTGTTTGAGTGTTGAGACATTTTCTACTTATTTGGAAAAAAATAAATTTTCTTTTTGGATCATAAAAATAAAGAGATCTTAAGCAGCTGTCTAAAAGTTGTAAAAAAAATGAACGCCTGAATCAACTTATTTTCTAAGTGCAGATGGGCTTTTTTTCTCTGTCTCCTTTCAGTGCCTCATGTTTCCCTTTGCTGCCTGTTTTTAGTTTGCAGTATTGATAAACAGCATTGTAGAACAAGTTTCTGGTGATGTGCCTTTTTTCTGTTCCACTGTAATGCAACGCCCGCCTGTTTAAAAAAAAAAAGGTTTGAAGATAAGAAACCAGGCCTCTCTTCTATCTGGCTGTGCTCCTCAACAACTGGAGCAACACAAGCAACAAACATAGGTCAATGGAAAATCACGCCGTTATTTTGTCTGACAAATATTAACTGTTCTGGCTCATCAGCATCCAGAATCAACAACACTAGGTGGCAGAGTTGCACCTTTTTTATATATTTATGGATTTTTTTACTGCAAGGTAAATCTTTACTACTGGAAATTATATAGTGACATATGGGGCTGCAGCTAACGATTCTTTTAATAGATTGTGTATTTAGATTTTTCTGAATGAAGATTTGCAATGTCAAAAAAGGCTTTTGTTGCTATTATAAATTAATTGTAAATGGCAAAAGCCTAGCAAATATACAGACATAAATGTGTGTTAAATAGACTTTTAATGTTGTTTATATTTGTACAGGTTTTTGGTTATTCTATCAACAAATTACTCTAGGTAACCATTTGTTTCAATTTCACAATTAATAATTGATTAATGACCGTCTGATTAATGGTTTCAGCCCTAGTGATGTCTTTTTTTTTTGTAAAATGCAGTTCTCAGTTGCTTCCACCATTCATATTTTCAGCAAACTGTCAGATAAACAGAATAGAACGGACGTGAAATTGGATCCAAAATGGAGACGAAGGAGGATGAGGCCGTTCTCAGCAACTACAAAGACGCCCAAGAAATATGGTAGACTATATGTTTTTAGTTGCCAGGCTTTTTGAATGTAAATAAGGAAAAAAATATTTAGAAAGAAAACTAAAACTAAAAATGATTCATTAAAGAAAAGAAGTCATTACCTTATATGAAGACATGAAGATTTTCTTGATTCTGATTAAAGAAGGTTTGTTAGATCTTTACACAGTGTTAATACGTTTGTTTTACATTGTAAAAGAAATTAACCATCTTAAAGGGAAATGTTTTCTGTCTTTTAGGTGGAATACTTGCTTTTTGCAATTTAACTGAAGCACAAACCCGGACTGCCACTGGCTGCCTTGATTGGATCATATGTTCCCTCAGGGATCAGTTTTTAAATGAACTTTTTCCTTACAGTGGAGCAAAATATTTAGTCAGCCACCTACTACTCAAGTTCTACTTAAAAAGATAAGAGGTTTGTCATTTTCATTGATACACTTCAACTACAGGAGATAAAATAAAATATCCAAGAAATCCTATTTGAATCTTTAAAGAATTTATCTGTAAATCATGGAGGAAAATAAGGATTTGGTCAATAAAAGTTTTGCGAAATGCTTTATAGAACCGCCTTTGTTTTAAAGACAGAGGTCTAACATTTGGTGCTAGTCTTAAACAGGTTTGCTCACACTAGCTGGTTTTATGGAGATCTAGATCATGCAGATTTCCACTAGAGCAGTGATGGTGCTGCTCCTTCATTGTGTATCGGAGTATTTGGGATCATTGTCCTGCTACATCTTCAGTGCTCTGAAGGAGCAATCCATAGATACATGGCCCTGTTCATTCTTGCCATAACAGGGACCAGTCTTCCTGTCTTATTAGCAGAAAAACAGACCCAAAGCATCATGTTTCCACCTTCATGCTTCACTGTAGGCATGGGGCTCTTTGGATGGAACTCAGCATCTTCTTTCTCTTTCAGTTATTCCAAAAAGTTCTACTTTGTTTTCCTACGACAACACAATATTCTCCCAGTCATCTTCTGGATCATCCCTATGCTCTCAGCGTAGAGTGTTACTGATGGTAACCTTTGTTTGTTGGGTCCCAGATCTCTGCAGCTCATTTATCATGTCCCTCCATGTAATTATGAAATTCTTTCTCAACGTTCTCGTGATAATTTTCACCCAGTAGCATGAGATCTGGCATGGAGCCCCAAATCAAGAGAGATTATCAATGGCCTTAGATGCCTTGCTCCCAAAGTTGATTCTTCCACGCCCACCTGCTTGCCTATTCTAGATTTATTCTTCCCAGCATAGTGCAGATCTATAATTTCCTTTACAGTGTCTCTACATATATTTGCCATGATTGAGTTTGTAGTCTGAGTGTTTGAGGCTGTGGACAGGTGTTTTTATACAATTAAATTAAACAGGTAACCAGTGGAGAATAGAGGAACTTCTTAAAAAAGTAGTAAGAGGCCTGGGAAGGCCAGATGTCTTGGTAGTTTGTAGGTGACCACTTTTTACAGCATAATTTATAAATAAAATCTTTAAAAATCCTACAATGTGACTTCCTTGATTGTAGTTCTGCACCTGTGATTAAAATCACAGACATCTCTCATCTTTCAAAGTAAGGAAACCTGTACAATCAGTGGCTGATTAACTATTTTTTGCCCCATTGTGACTTTTTTTCGTTGACGTTTAACCTCAGTTTTAAAGGTATTAGTGCGTTTAAAGTTTATTTCACTATTTCTATCTCATGAAGTTGCTAAAAAATAAAATATAAAAACCACCATGACATACTTTTGTATCTAAAAAAAAATGTTAAAAACCCCATCGGCAAAAAATTCTAAGTGGTTTAATTCTAACATAATCTAGAGGAAAAGTATTATCAATATATGTTTTTCGATATTCTTCCTTAACTAAAAACAAAGGAGCATCTTAACGCAGTTCTTCCTCTTTAAATTGATGACCACAAACCTTGTGATACATGTGTCTGTCTAGTGTTTGTATAAACATACAGAGATTTGCTCCTAATGTTAGTATGTGGGAGGACATGAAGACCAAACATGTTCCCTGTTTGCAGAGTGTTACTGCATTACTATACATCTTAACTGTGTGTCAAAGTGAGGACATTTTGCTGGTTCTTACAAACTATTTTGCTAATGGTTAGGTTTAGGGCTAAGGTTAGGGTTAGAGTGAAGTATGCATTGGTAATGGCTAGGGTTAGTTTTAGGGTTAGGGCATAGGAAGGGTTGAAAATTACTGAAAATCAATGGGAGTCAACACATGTTCCTCACTACATATCACATAATGAGTGTGTGTGTGTGTGTGTGTGTGTGTGTGTGTGTGTGTGTGTGTGTGTGTGTGTGTGTGTGTGTGTGTGTGTGTGTGTGTGTGTGTGTGTGTGCGTGCGTGTGTGTGTGTGCGTGCGTGTGGTGTGTGTTGGGGTGGGTCTTCAGCTAAAGGTCATTGCAAGTTTGTTTGATTGAAGCTGTGGGATGTTGTTTTGAAGAACTAACATAGAACAAGCAAAAAACTATTTTCACCCTAACTTGGCCCCTGAATGACCACAGATATAAACACACATCCCCCCCCTACCTTGACCTCTCAATGCAACACAAAGGTCCCAACATACACACATATGTTTGTCCTTGGACTAAATGACTGAAGATGATGGAGCAGAAGAGTAAGATAAGGTATTTGTTTGGCTTTCATTGCTGATATGAGTCGGTGATATGTCCTTTATCTGTAAGTCAAACATCAGAGTTCATGGCTGAGAGAATGACAAAAAAACAAAAACACAAAATTACAAAAAGATACATCGACTTTTTTTCCCTTTTTTTTTTATATATGTTTATTAAGATTTCAAAGTTCAACATACAAAAACTACACACCCGAGTGTAAAGCATACATATATTTAAAAAATTATGGTCTTAGAAGAAAAAAAAAACTCTTACCAATACAACAGTAGTAATAATACAAAACTAACAAAAAAGCCTTCAATAACAGAATGAAAGAGAAAAGAGAAAGACGGAAAGAGAAAAAAAAATTATTAATTAATTAAAAAAAAATGAAAACAAGCCAGACAAGTTATCTAAATAACGGTTGCACTGCACTGATTACCATTTACGCTTTAGGATAGTACTAAATATCTATGAAGGCGCAGGTGGCATACTAAGAAACTGAGCGGCTGTCAGAGTTCAGTCTTAGAGTGAGAAATATGGTCCTAAACCAGCTGCCAGATACTACAGAACTTATAAGTGGAGCCATTAACATCATACCGCAGTTTTTCCAAATGAAAAATCTCAGTAAAATCGCTTATCCACATTTTAAACCGAGGAACCTTGACAGTTTTCCACAATCTTAATATTTTCTTTCAACTTTCTTTGCGATTACAATTCCATAAACCACAGTCATTTGTGTAGAAATGCTGCAGTTCCTCAGTGAGGGAGAGTGTCCAAACAATGCAATCTGAGGGTTCGGAATCAAGGTGCACTTATACACTTTTTGAAAATGTCGCACCAATAATGAAAGAGCTTGAGGCATGACCAGAACAGATGAGTCAAGGAGCCATCGGCAGATTTACATCTATCACATTTTGCAGATACTGATGGGAATATTCTGTGCAATTTTGTTTTTGAATAGTGGAGTATGTGAAACACCTTGAACTGAATTAACTGGTGCTTTACATTAATAGAGCATGAC